AGGGTATAAGAGATACAATTACAGAAAAGCATCACACATTTAAGAAATTTAACTTCACTGGTATGACGGGAGATTTGGAATATTACATAAGATCAAGAATTGGTCAAACAGGAAATTAGGACATCAAAAAGGATCTATAATGAAAGGTTGGCTTAAAATGTAAAAACTAATAGTAAGGATTTCTTTAAGTACATTAAGGGTAAATGAAATGTTAGGATAGGGTAGGACCCTTGAGGAATGATAAAGGAAGGCTTGTATCTGATGATTATGAGGTGGCTGGGTTATTAAATTTTGCTTTTTCTCCTGACTTTACTAATGAAGATTTAAGTAGTATTCCTCATCTTGAACGTTTGATAGATGGAAAGAAGGGCAGACAATGTCATTGCATTAATTCTGAGCTTGTTAAGAAGAAAATTAGAAAGTTTAAAAAGTGATAAGGTTCCTGGGCCATATAATATTTTCCAAGGGATTTGAAGGAGGTTAAGGATTGGATATGTGAGCCACCTTCTAATATTTTTTGTAAGTCCTTGAATAGTATGCAGATGCCCAAAAATTAGAAGACAGCTAATGTCACTCCTCTTTTCAAAGAAGGTAATAAAAATTGGCCAAGTAATTATAAGCCTAGTAGTCTTACATCAGTTGTGGGAAAAGCTTTGGAAAGTCTGATAAAAGATGCTTTGCAAAGTCATTTAAGAAAGTTTAGAATTTTATTGGATAGTCAACATGGTTTCACTAAGGAAAAATCTCTCCTTGAAAATCTTCTGACATTCTTGAAAAAGGTTACTGCATATGTAGATGAGGGTAAGGGTGTAGATGTGGTGTATCTGGATTTTCAGAAAGCCTTTGACAAGGTGCCACATAAAAAAGCTTATAAATATATATATGTTTGTGGGATAAGTTAGCTAATTGGATAGAAGAGTGGCTGGATGTAAGAGGGATGTTATAAATGGAGTTCAGTCAAATTGGATTAATGTCACAAGTGGGATACCTCAGAGCTCAGTCCTAGGACATTTGCTTTTTTGATTTACATCAATGACATAAATGAAGGAATGGTCAATAAATATCTTAAAATTTGCTCATTATATTAAGGTGTTGGACGTTGCTAGCTGTGAACAGAATGCTGCTGCTTTACAAGTGTATTTAGATCATTTAGTGAGTTGGGCAAATAAATGACAAATGAGTTTTAATTATACTAAATGAAAGTTAATGCATGTGGGTTATCATAATTTGAATTATAAATATAATGTGGATGGGAACAACCTTAACGCTGTCATGAAAAAAGGGATCTTGATGTAATGGTTGATGTGTCTCTTAAGCCATCCAAGCAGTGTGCTATTGCTAGTGGTAAAGCAAATAGGATTTCAGGTTGTATCTACAGAAATATTGAATACAAATCTAAATAGTTTATAATTTTATTTTACAGGTCACATTTGGAGTACTGTGTTCAGTCTTGGGCTCTTTACCTTAAGAAGGACATCGAATTGTTGAAAAGCGTTCAAAGGAGGGTTACAATAATGATGCCTGGGATGAAGAGTTTGTGATATGAGGAGAGATTAAGATCTTTGAAATTGTTTTTTCTTGAAAAAGGAAGAGCTGAAGGGGATCCGATTGAGGTGTTTAAAATTGTAAAGGGATTTGATAGTGTTAATGCATCATCTTTTTTCATACATATCGGCGAGAATAGTAGGACTAGGTGACAAAAATATACATATTTTTAAGGTAAGAGTCAAATTCAGCTAATACAGTTTTATTTCTTTTAAAAGGTGGCTAGTCCTAGAATGGGTTGACTTCGGATGTTGTGGAGGCAATAATTTTGCGTGAGTTTAAGAGAAAGTTTGATACTATATGAATGATAACGGCTGATTTTAAGATTTTTTAAAAATTATAATAGTTTAGTTTAGAGGATGCAACGGCCGAGATGGACCAACAGGTTCGTTGTTTTCCCTAAACATTATGTTATATGTTATGTTGGTAACCTCAAATCTGTAATTGAAGCAAGGGGAAAGATTCAATTAACACTCTGTAAATTACATTTAACCTTGGCCAAAGAAAACCAAACCTCTATAACATTTATCATGTCGATAAAAAATATCTTACTTATGTATTTATCTATATCAAATATGGATAACGATGTATTTTCTTGCTTCTGGAGTACACAACAGAGAAATAAGACCGATCTATTAACTTATGTACTTTTTATTTAACTCAAACTTTTAAAGCTTTGAGGCTGACCTTTTTTGTATCTTCAGCATAAAATGTAAGATTTTTTTTAAACACCATACTTCACGAACGTTTTCTTCACGTGTTGGGAAAATTTTTGAAGATAAACACTTTGTTTATGTGAGGAAAAACAGTAAGAACTGATTTCTGGCACATTAGAAACTTTGGCCTTTAAAGAGTTTAGTTCCATTTAGTTTGATTAAAAACAAAATTATAATAATCATAAGCCCAGTTGTTGAGAAAATTCATATATTAAAATGAGGTAGGATTTTGTTTCCTATTATTTCTTGAAAAAAAAGAAAAAAAAACACGTAAAACAAACAGTTACGGATATAACCACACTTGACTGTATCTAGTTTATATAATGTACCTGATGATGACAAAACCTTGTCGAAACGTTGTACATTTGCTGTTATATTAAAGTTTTTTTTCATTACCCATTCAAGCCGTCTCCAGCCATTTTTATATAATGTAGGTTCTTCCCTTTATATTTTCTCCTAAATTCAATGTAAGTTTCCAATAAGTACCACAGAGGCTACGTTCTTGGCTACCTTTTGAAAAAATCTGTTAATCAGGTAACACGGACAAGATCTAAATCAGACTATAGTGCTAGAACCAACAAAGCATGTTATAGCCTCGTTCCTAAAGGTTATTCTGGGTAAAGAAAGTTCCGAGAATTATACTGAATTAAGTTTTTTTATTTTTGTTTGTTTGTTCTTAAACAAAGCTGCACATTGAGCTATCTCTGCATTACAGATATGCGGGAGTTATTATTTTATAAGAAAAAGAGTAATTTTCAGTAATTTAATGCAAACTAAAAAGTAAATATTATACTTGGGGATTGCATATAAGTATCCATTCATGTTTTTCAAACTAAATAATTGACCTTTAATAGGGATCGGAATCAATATTGTAAGAAGTTATATTAGCCCCCCAGTGGTATATCTGCGGATTTGTACTGCTAGAAACATGGTTTCGATACCCGTGGTGGCCAGAGCACAGATATCTCTTTGTGTAGTTTTGTGCTTAACAAAAACAAGTTATATTAGTGTTTACATTTTTATTGTCACACTGATGTAACACTGATGGGTCACTGTATTCTATTGGAAGTCTTACACATAATAAGGAAAGGTGTATGATAACACTGATGGGTCACTGTATTCTATTGGAAATCTTACATATAATAAGGAAAGGTGTGTGATAACACTGATGGGTCACTGTATTCTATCATACGCAATGTATAAGAAAGCGAGAACCAACAGAACACTTAACCTTTACTGGAGTTATTATTTCATGAGGAAGAAATATATAGAGCGGAACTTTAATGATAAATCGTTATCAATGCTTAACCGCAATCTTCATACCATGAGAATTAGTTGCAGCATGGAAATCGTGTGTTACTTTATTTACATCATTTCATCTCGTTGATAACTAGACATAGTGATAGATATTCGCGCTCTTTTTACTAAATAAAAATAGTCATTTAGTGTACTTTAAGAGAAACTTTTGTTCAATTCCATTACTCACCTGAACGAAGATGAAAAGTTGGGGCACAGCCACAATAAACGCCAAGATCCAAGAAGCAAGAATCAATTTCTTAGCACGAATAGCGCCTACCGTTGACTGAAGCGGCTTACATATAGCCTGATAGCGGTCGTAACTCATTGACGTCAGGATGAATGTTGTGCTTGCAAGCGTTACAATCTGAGCGTACACAATCACTTTACATGCAATAGCTCCCAAGACCCACTCTCCGAAAACCTGTAGTGTTGGAAGGGAACAAACATTAGTTAACAGTAGAAAATATAATAGAGAAATAACAAGAATTAATAAAGTTCATAGATGACAGTTTGAAAATGTGAGTGGTAAAAATTAATATCTTGACAGATTAGCAGATATTAAATATATTTTGATATTAGTGAAAGCAGGGGAAAATAAGTTACAATATGTTCACCACACTACATCTTCTACATTCATTCTCGACGTGTCTTTTTGCTTAATACCAGGTCTTATATCCATCTAAACTTGGAATTGACAGACTAGAGGGAAAGCAGCTAGTCAACAGCATCCACTGGCAACTTTTGGGTTACTCTTGTCTGATGGAATAGTGAAAATACCTTGCTAACTTCATAACGCAACCAACGACCTCAAAGTGCGGAACAGGTTTCGCAACAACGAGTCTCAGACAATGAATACCCGAATTCTCAATCCGGGAACTTTAGCTGCCAGGCCATGACCGGCCCAGTAATGGTAGCAGTTAATTAATTGAACATATCAATAATAACTGTCATATTAAACTTAATTATTTCAGATAAATCAAAAATAAAGGTATCACAGCTTTGATTCTACTTCTAACTTTACACAGGAGATCTTGAATCAGAAGCTTATCTTCTGAATATGTTGTGTAACTCAAGTTAGTGTGCAAGCATATCGAATGTAAGAATGTTGTTCTTTGTTTTGATATAAGATTTTTTTGTATTTACATATCTTAAGTTTCCCTTGCCCTATAATATTTCTTGTGGCTTTTTTTTCTCATTCTTTTCTTGATCGTTATTTAAAAAATATGACTTTAAAAACATGTTTCAATTTTGAAAATTTTTTAAAATCATTTCATTTGAACTTAATTAATAGCAGAATAAGTTTGTTTAAAATAACATTTGAAAGTTAAAAAAGATAATAGTAATTTTTTTTTTATTAAGAAAACTTTTTCTCAGCTGATTGGAGAACGATGTAGACTTTAGGACAAACTTTCGTGCTACGTTTCCAGAAGTACTATGTTTGAGGTTTTTCTGTGTTAGGTTATCTCTTACTTGTTACTTCTATAGAGTATTATTAGTTGTGATAAATGTTGAGTGCCAAAAGAGATTCAGTAAACCGCTTTCTCCCCAATCATCATATTTCTAAGCTTTTGTGTCAAGAAAACTAAATATGAGCTATTTATTAAAAATACCAAATGTTTAAAGTGTTATACTAAGCTGAGACTAAACGTTTATCAGTCATTTCCAGAATTTTCTGTATAAGCAATTCCAACTACTGCCATTTTGAAATGTGTCGTTATGTGTCGTAATTCTAAGTGTTCATTGGTTACACTTCATTTCTAATACGCCTATTTGAATTAATGCTTGGACTTTACATACATAATATATATATATATATATATAATAGTTTGAAATTCACCGATAATTGAATAATCAAACTAATCCAAAAGCAGAGAGAAGTCAGTACCATAAATATATCTGTAGAATTCATACTATTTTACTTTCCATCTACACATGTGAATGTAAATACCTATATATTTGCTATTCACTAGGAAAGGATTTATGGTCACCTAGAAACAAGCCCCAAGGCAGAGCTAGTGTGACGTGTATTTACGGCTGTTTGGTTTCGTTGTAACTCTACCTTGTCCCTAAAGTAACAAATACTTCTTCTAACAATGTCAATGAGTAAAGTTATAATGTGGTAACCTGAAATAAGCCTCAAGGCAGAGCTAGTGTGACGTGTATTTACGACAGTTTGGTTTCATTGTAACTCTACCTTGTCCCTATAGTAACAAATACTTCTTCTAACAATGCCAATGAGTAAAGTTATAATGTGGTAACCTGAAACAAGCCCGTTGTTTAATCAATGTCTACCTTATTAATAAACGGTTTAAATAATTTACGAAACAAAATTTGAAAGGAATTTTCATTAAAAACCTAATAAAGATTCTTGTGTGTATAACTCAAGTTCCAACCCATTCACTTTAACCAAGTCTTTATACTAAAAATGGTGATAATACTAATTCTCAGATCTGACAACAAAAGTATGTTAATCAGTAGTTCTTATAATTTGCGTCCATTCATCGCTTATGTTAACACTAAAAGCAATCTTTTATTTTCACCATGTTTCATGAGTAACAATATAATATCGGCTCCTGCAAAAACTCTTGTTGGAAGTAGTCCTTGGAATTATTCATTAGCACTGGCTCATATACGAGTTGTTGTTCTCATCTCTACTGCTTCTGGCAGGAAGTTCTAGCACCTAGAGCTGCTATAAGTTGAACAACAGCCTCGTTAAATATACAGAAGTAGTTTCTTGTTGCATTGATTAATCGTTCATCAACCTATTGTTCATTAATATAAATGTTACTACGAAAGATAAAGAAATATACGATATTACGAATTTAAGGTATTGTCACATTATTGTACTATTAAATCTAAAACAGCTATTCTAATGGTTATGGTTAAAGAGAAATTGTAATAGTTATAGATACACAGTTATTTATATAGTTGGTAGAGAGATACTTTAACCTTCATAGATAGATAGATATTTTAGTACTTATATACAGAGATATTTTTCTAATTATAGGTAGACAGTTACTTTGATAGCTATATATGTAGTTGTAGGTAGACAGATATTATGATAGCAATATCATATTGAAAAAGTCACTATTCAGTTTGTATGCTTATCGAACTATTTCTCGTTACATAGTTTAACAAATGTACGTTAAATGATAGACCTTGGTTATCTACAATTGTTGAAGTATCGCTCTTGATACTCCAACATGTAACGGCTTCGTTCCATTATTCAACAGTATCTACCTGACGACCCTAGCAAAAAGTAGTGTTTTTAAAGGTAAAATTAAAAATAAGAAAATAAGTTTTGAAAGTATATTATCTTTTTTATTAGTAAACAAAACTTTCATTTTTATATTATAAGTTCTTCTTTTAATTTGATTTTTAAAACTTTATAACACTTATAATAAAATTAAAACACAGAATAAATATATTCACAACAGCTGTTTACTGTTTTTAGTCCTACCTAATAACATGTCCCCCGCCGGGACAGCTGTAAAGCTATTGATTTACAACGTTAAAACCAAGGGTTCGATTCCCCTCAGTGGACACAGCAAATAGCTTGATGTGACTTTGCTATAAGAAAAACACACACACACACACACCTAATAACATTAATACCATTGCTGTATTCATTTGCTGACATTGAAGGATGAATTAGTGCTGACAGATGTTATTAATTAATCGGAATTAATCATTTGTTGACTGTTCAACAGTTGTCTGATGTATTGCTTATACACACTCTCTAACATCATAACTTAATCTAAAATTGTACTTACAAACATTCCGTTTTATAACAAGTTTATAACCTGCACATATGCCAGATAAACCAAATTCCAAATTCCATACAAAATGTTTGAAATATTCTAACATTGCAGATAATTGTGTCACTGACTGTATGAAAACACAAAAAAAAATCACTTTGACAGATTAGATATTAGAACTTGAATTAAACAGCTTACCAACTCCTAACTTTACAATTTCAGCAATGTATACACTGGACGTATTGTAGTAAATTTTTAGCAATGTATACACTGGGCATATTGCAATACATTTTCAGTAATGAACCACAGGACGTACCGTAGTAGCTCATTGTGCAGCTTTGTGCTTGAACTACAAACAAACACACTATAGTATAATTTTAGAAATGAACTACTAGACGTATTGTAGTACATTTTTAGCAATGTATACATACACTGGACGAACTATAGTAGAATTTTAACAATCCATAACACTGCTCAAAATAATGTTAGGAGAAAAAGAACGTTTATTCGGGATTACTATGAAAATAACTGACATCACAATCTCTGTTATCTCTTGATGCTTTTAATAAGTGATAGAATGGTATAAATGACTTGTTGAAATAATAACTAAGATGTTATAGGAATCTGGCAACAAAATACCAGAACAGTAAACCTTGCTCGTAAGATATACAGCTCCAAAAGAATAAGTTTCAGACTTTAAAAAATAACCAATGACAAATAGGTAAGAGAGAGAGAGAGAAAGCTTTGGGGGGGGAATCTCTGCATTTTACTATGGAAAATAACGGAATATGTAATTCACGCCTCAGTGTCTGAACGAACATCTTTCACTGTGATGGGTGAGACCCGGATAGGTGGGGTGGAGCATTTATAATCAATCATCTGTCGCGTCAGAGCAAACGATCATACTGTCAAATGTCGTCATGACAACAAGTTTGTTCTGCCATGCAATATATTCATGTATGTCGGGTTTCTGAACAGGAAAGCAACTGCATTTTAGACTCTTTTTTTTCAATTCTTTATTTTTTATTTTTAAAAGTCCAACTCATAATCCGTGTTTGAGTTTCTAAATGACATGTTGACAATATAATAACTGGTACTAATATATATGTAACATTAAAATAATGTCGTTCTTTATTATCTATGTATAAAACAATCATCAACAAAGATGGAAGATATAAAAACCAAGAACAAGCAGCACCTTAAGTTTATCTATAATTGCGCTCTATCTCTATTTCTCTCACATATATACATATTGTTAATTTCTTAAACCGTTATATTTATTGGCAGGTCTGAAATCATGTGACAGTATGAAAGCGCTACAAAGCATGCAGTGACATCATAAAACATTAAGTTTATATATGTTGTGAGTTCAGTCTATAATATCGACTAAAAAATAATATACATTTGTCAGTACTATATCTGTTAATGACTAAAAAAAGGTATATGTAATTTTTTATGTTTCATCTTAAGTTGAGCTGAATTCGGCACTTTGTGACCAAAGGTCAATGCAAATCAACAGACATGTTCTTGGAGAACAAAATTTCATCAGAGGCACGTCGACAGTCACACGTTTGTTCAAGAAAACTTGGACATGGCACACAGTGTTTCAAAATCACATTATGGATATATACCTAAAAGACTTTTCTTGCTTTGCATTTATTTT